TATTAACTTTACTATTCGCGAACTAAGGCAAACCCAATTTCGATTCAAACTATTTTGCGGGTATAAATATTTTGTTGTCATAAGTTTTTAATTTAATCTACCCGAGCATTATATCCATATAATAGGTTAGAAATTTCTATCGCGAGCTAAATATCGGACGAAATCCTAGAAATATTATACGAATTAATTTAGTCTATGACTAAATGATTAAATATAATACACGGGTAAAATCCCTAGTAATTAAATCCGAATTTCTACCGTGAACCGATTACTTAAAGGATTACCCAAAAATAATCTATAATAATCTATAAGAATTCATCTATTTGTTTAGTAATTAACTACATCTAAATTATTACCGCGAATTGATTTCTTATAGAAATTGCCAAGAATAATCCATAATTTATATTAAATTTTGCAATTCTACGACTATAATTAATCCATAATTAAATTCTAATTATTTTCAATTTTCTAAACTTCCCTAATCTTCCTCTAATTTCTATTTTTTTTTTCTTTTCTTTTTCTCTCCTCTTTTCTCTCTTTTCTTTTCTTTTTCTCTCTTTTTCTCTCTTTTCTCTCCTCCCGGCTCCTTTCTTTCTTTTCCTTCTCTTCCTCTCTCCTCTTTTCTTCTTCCTCCCTACCGGCCTCTCCTTTCCTCTCTCTCTCGGCTCTTGTCCACCCGAGCGACGGCGGTGGTGGACGCGAGGGGGGGGGAAGAAGGCTCAACGGCGGCGACGACGGCGGCAGCGCGGCGGTGGCGACGACGGCGGCGCAAGGCGACAGCGACACCCGGCGCGGCACACGGTGCGGCGCGGCGGCACCGAGGGCGGCGGCGCGGCGGCACGAGGACGGCGACGCGGTGGAGGGAGAGAGGGGAGGAAGAGGAAAATGGAGTGGGGGAAATGGAGGGGGGAGTATTTATAGGGAAGAGGGGGAGAAGGAGAGGGGAGGGGCGGCGGCCTGATGCGACGGCGGCGCGGGGCTCGGGGCGGCGCGCGAGGCTCGGCGCGCGGTGATGGGACGGCGACGGCGACAGCGGCGCGGGCTCGAGGCGGCGATGGAACGCGCGCGGCGACGGGACGGGCGGTGACGGGGCGGCAGCGGTGGCGCGTGGCGCGAGGTGGGACGCGACGGCGACAGCGCGGCAGCGGCGGCACGGGGCGCAAGGCGACGCGACGGGCGGCAGCGGCGACGCGACAGCGGGCGGCGCGGCGCGGGGCGCGATGACGCGATAGCAACAGCGACGGCGACGCGGCAGCGACGGCGACGGCGCGCGGCGGTACGAGGCGCGAGGCGCGACGGCGACGGCCGAGCGGCGCGCGGCGTGGCAGGTGACAGCGGCACGGCGGCAGGCGGCGATGGCGACGGCTCGGGGCGCGAGGCGCGCATGGCAGGGGAGGGGAAGGGGCTAGGGAACCTCGTCGAACACCTAGAGTGCAATGAATAGTGTCTTTTTCCTATTTATCCCATTTTAGTTTATTTCCCATATAAATTTGATTCTATAATTTCTAAATCTTGCATAAATGAAGTTTACTCAATATTTGTGTTATCTCAACTAATGAATTCACCCTAGATTAATATTACTCATATTTTATTGGTATAATTTATTTGAATTTTTAATTAGGGTTAATTCTTGTTCCATTGCATTTAAATCTAATTAATACAAATATGGCCGTGATGATATTTTATTTATTCCTATCCTTACATAATCTTTATTTTAAATTATAATTTATTTATTTCTTTAACCAAATCTAATTTCAGGGTTAATTCCTAATTAATTTTCCCCTATTTGTGATCGATGAATTCCGAAATCAAAATCCAATAAAATCGTCGAATAAAATTGGCATGATGCAATTTATTTAAAAAGTTTTTGAAGGCCCATATTTTTAGAGTTTAGATTTTTTATCGGTCGAATTTTCAGGTGTTACAACTGTCCACCCTTATCTTACAGCTACACTGAGGCTACTTACATAGTTGTCCCTACCACCTTTGATACCCGGGCCCTCCTCCCAATTCCCCTCCACACCCGCACTCCCAAACTCAAAACTTTATCTGGATGTGCCGCCACTTAGGTTCCAAGATTTCATCGGATATGAAGGCGAATTTGGTGATTTGAGATAGGGTCAACGAGGTATCGGATCCCTTACCTAGGTTGACTCTAGGGGTCTACATATTTGCAACATACTCTTTCCATGTGTTTTCTCATTTTCTATCTTTTCATTCTATCTATGTACAATTTTAGATTACAAAGCTCATGTCGGCTCGATTGTCAGTCTATGCTCTCACGTCAGCTTTTTTTTTTTCTACAAGAACCCCTTTTCAATTTTAGTTTTAGATTCACTGCTAGAGAATAAGACATCTTGATATATGATTTTTGGAGTCGATCAGAATGCCATAACTTAGACTAAATTGATAAAAAAAAAGCCATAGATATATGTATATCAGCACTGAAATAGAAGGTGACTTTGGATGTTGAACAAAAGCTCGTGACTTAGATTTAAATCATGCCAAAATCTATATATTATAGATATATATGTATATCAATACCAAAATAGAATAAATACAACTTTTTAGAAGGGAGAAACCTTTTAATTGTGATTATTAACATCCCAAATCACCCCTCTTTGTTGTATACTACATAGAAAATCCACAAGTATACTGCTAGTATAAATTTCTCAATTCTAAAAGGTCACTTTAAATTACTCAGTTACAAACAAACTGCTTATATTGAGTAACATGTAAGGTGAGTTATCAGGTTTAGGTAGCAAGAAAGTTGTTTCTAAGTTTGATGACCTCATTCTTCATGTAAGGGCTACTTTTTCAACTACCATAATAAATGCTATTAACTCCAACCTACCATAAATGCTACTATTCCAAACTATGATAAATGATAAAGCCAATTAAATTATGTGTTCCAAAGTTTTGGTTCCGTTGCATTTTTTTCATTTGTAAATAGTGGTCAATCAATATATTGTTTATAAAATTGTGTTAAAGTAATCACAATAGATGGGTCTTGAAAAACAAAATAAAATCATTTCAAGAGAAATAAAAAAGGAATTACATACATATACGCCGACACATTTTATTATTGAATTAGTCAAAACTTGTGCATAGGACAAACCTTATCTCTAACATCCATCGCATCCCCTCCTCTCTGTCCACCATCTCCCTTCCCCACCACCCCACCCCATCCAATCCTCCACTTTGTTAACCCCCTCGTCGCCGACTTCTCCAAAACCAGCTAATATCCCCGCTATGTTTTCTTTCCTATCTCCAGCGACCACCATTTACCACCACTTTCGTTTCATCCCATCCATGGCGCCCATTGTCATCCTTTGATGTTATGGCTACGATAACACTACTTTCATAGTCGCCCCTACCTCCTTTGACACCTAGCCCATCCTCTCGATCCCCGTCCACACCCGTGTCGCAAACTTGAAACCTTATATGGACGTAACCACGGCCTAGTTTCCTAGAAATCATCGAAGATGAGGGGGTGAGAATTTGGATATCCGAAGATGGGGTGAGGGAGATGGAGGGGGAGGGGAACATGGGTCGACCGAGGCGTCAGATCCCTTGCCATGGTTGGCACATGGTGCGAACAACTAGATCTACATGTCTGCACTACAAAATATCGAGGTATTTCTTTCGACGAATTTTCTCAATTTTGGTTTTGCTTAATTCTATCTATGTACAATTTTAGATTACAAAAGTTTGTATTTGCTCGATTGTTACTCTCATACTCTTGTGATTGTTTTGTTCTATCATCAAATTTTAGTTTTAGATTTACTACCAATAGAAAAGTCTTTGGTATACAAATTTTAGATATCGAATAAGGGGTATCTAAAAAATTACCATAAGTTTTTTTTTTAAGTTTTCTGAGTGAAAAACTTTCAAATGTAACTATAGTATAATTAAAGTGTAACTGTATTGTAACTATACTTTAACTATGATATAACTTATATAAAACTTGGATTTAACCATGTTTTGGTTGGTTAGAACCGAGATCTTACGCATGACATATTTGAAACATGCAAAAATCTTGAGGAAGTCCGATGGCTAGAAATCAGCAAATTTGAGGATAAAAACTTATGGAAGTTCTCAAGCAATTCTGTTGAACAAAACCTCATAACTTAGACTAAGGGTGTGTTTAGTTGGGGAAAAGAAAATTTTTGGGTGTCACATCGAACGTTTGACCGGATGTCGGAAGGGGTTTTCGGACACGAATGAAAAAACTAATTTCAGAACTCGTCTAGAAACCGCGAGACGAATCTTTTGAGACTAATTAAGCCGTTATTAGCACATGTGGGTTACTGTAGCACTTATGGCTAATCACGGACTAATTAGGCTTAAAAGATTCGTCTCGTGATTTCCTCCATAACTGTGCAATTAGTTTTTCTATTTATCTATATTTAATGCTTCATGCATGTGTCCAAAGATTCGATGTGATGTTTTTGGGAAAAAATTTTGGGGAACTAAACGGGCCCTAAAGGCATGCCAAAAGTCACACCAAAACTGAAAGAACACAACTTTGCTAGCCTGGGCCCTATTTGGTTCCATTTGCTAATGTTTAGCCCTCACCTTTTAGCCTTAAATTAGCCCTCAAGGATCCAAACAGGTGGGCTAATTTTGAGCTAATGTGAATTAGCCCCCCTCAAAACATTAGCCGCTAATGGGGCTAATTTTGTGTGGGGACCATTAAAAAGCAGCTTTCTCTCTCCTTCTCTCTCCTCCCTTTCTACTCTCTCTCCACCTTTTAGCCTTGAATTAGTCTATGGATCCAAACATACCACCCTAGGCTAATGTTTAGCATATCAATTCATGACTAAACATTAGCTCTTAAAATTAGCTATGGGCTAATCTTCCACACAGGGCGCTGATACTAGTGAGAACTGAGAAGTGCAAATTGCATCTTCCAACCTCCTAATCTTGATTATTACATCCCAAAATTACTGAATCCCCTCCTCTTATTGCTTCACAGTTCCCAAAAGTGTACCACACTGGTATATAAAAAACACCCCATCCTGTGTGCCTGCCGACTCGCCCACGCAACTCCGACTCTTTCCTTCCCCAATTCTCCCGTCCACCGGCCGCGGACCTCGCCGGAACCCTAGCCCCGCCGCCCCCCTCCCCTCCCCGATCGCCCGATTCGGTGGTCGGGGTGATGGACTCCGACGCCGAGATGCCCATGTCCAGCGACGAAGAGATGTTGGATGACGAGGACTATTACGACTACAGTGATGACATGGGTGAGGACGATGATGGGAGCGGCGGCGGGGGCGGGGGAGATAGCGATGGGGAGGAGGAGGAGGAGGGGGATGAGGAGCTGGTGGGCGGCGACTACGAGGGCCGCGAGGCGGAGGGGAGCGACGAGGTGGTGTCCCGCCGCGAGCAGGTGAGGATTTTTTTGGTCGGAAGCAGATCAGGTGGTGGACTGGTGGTGGTGTTTTTTTTTCTTTTTTCTTTTTTTTAGCAGGAAGCGCGACGGTCGATTTCATTAAGATTTTGGGAAAAAAAAGTTTTCATACAACTCGAGATTACACCCCCCTTCGGTGTAGCTTAGCGGGGAGGCAAGGCGAGCTGAACGTAGATCAGGACCTGGAAGATCAGGGGTGCTAGATTGGTAGCGTCGAACGGTCTCGAGAATGGCGTCGTTTTGCTGAAATAAGGATTAGGATGAGCTTATGGCGTCCTTTTCTTTTTTTTTTCTTTTTTTCTGAAATGAGGATCGGGATGAGCTTTTGCGGCAGTTCTTAATTTTGATGTACCAGTCAGCTAACGCGACTGAAATATGTTGATAAGATTGATGGTCCAGGGTGCTTGTCATGTACTCGGATGTGTAGTAGTTGTTTGTGATTCACATCTGCTCTTTGGGAAATTAAGGAATGTTCTGCTTCCGCACCTAGATGTGATCTATCTTCCGCTGTTAGGACAGCCTTGGGTGTTTTATACCTGTTCGCATTGTGCGCAAGCCGACAAGTTGATGATTACATTAGTGCTAAGATGCTTAGATTGTTATCTGCTCAATCAATATTGATGCTATACATGGTGAATATTGATTAGTGAGCACAGGTTTACGCTTAAGGAATAACATGGTAGAGAGTTTAGTCTTTGTAATGGAACTCATGGATCGGTGATGATGTACTGCTTTCCTGGGTTTTGTTTGTGCTGATCCAAGCAAGGTTCACACCTGGGCATCAACAGACGTAGCCAAATCATGATCTATGTTAACCATTATATGCTTGATAATGTGTTGCTAGTTTGATAGCTTAAATACAAAGGTTAAAAGGCGGATAATTAATCGCATGCATCACGATGAAATACCATATGTTTCTAGAGAGCTTTCTGTGCTTTCTTTCCATAATTTCCAAGCTGGTACTGTGTTTGGTTGTTTTCGTTCATGTTGATTGGCACTTCTATGTCATCTTGTTTCACTGGATATCCTTGAGTGTCTCTAAAAACTGGCCCATGTTTGGTAACTATGGACAGAGATACATTGTATTAACTGAAAAGGATATAAATGAGCGTCAAGAGGAAGATATAGGCAAGGTATCTGCTGTACTATCGATTCGAAGGGAGGAGGCGTGTGTTCTTCTTCATCACTACAAATGGTAAGTTTGTTAACCGTCATTCATTGAATATTCTTTTATCATTATACTCCCTCCGTCCCATAATATAAGAGATTTTGGGTGGATGTGACATATCCTAGTACTTCGAATCTGGACAGGTTTCTTAACCAGATTCATAGTACTAGGATATATCACATCCACCCAAAATCCCTTATATTTTGGGATGGAGGGAGTAAGAGTTTACTGAAATGAGATTGTACATATGTAATACATGGTGTAGTGAGCTATCCAAGTTTCCCTTGATGCACATGCAGTTTGTTTTTACTCTGTTACACTTTTCAAGGTGCTGTCTGCAAGCTTCCCTTTGATAATTTCTTGAAAATTATCACTGTGAAGTCTTAGGTAGTACCTCCAGATTTTGTATATGCTGGCAATTTAGTTTACGTGTCATTGCTGGTATGCAAGTGGTATGATGTGGGATTTTCTAACTACTTGACGATTGGAATAAGCTGATCTTCCACTTTTGGAATCTAGAAATAAGGGTACAGGTTTGTATTTGTTCTTTGTTAATCTTTATGAGTTCTCTGTTCAGGAACATCAGCAAGTTAAGCGATGAATGGTTTGCGGATGAAGAAAAAGTTCGTGATATTGTTGGATTACTTTTAAATGGAATTGATCTTCCTAACTCTAGAAAGGTTTGTATTATTTATTCAAATGCCAGTATATTGTTATCACTTGTTTGTTGTGCTGGCCACATGTCATATCTGATCAAACCTTTGGCTGTGGCTACATATACACTGTTTCTTACATCTGACAGCTGTTTTGGTTGCAGCTAACTTGTGGAATATGTTTTGAAGGGTATTCTTCTGATGTGATGAGTTCTGCTGATTGTGATCATTTTTATTGCCATGAATGCTGGGAAGGTCTCTCTCTCTCTCTCTCTCTCTGTGCATGCTTTTGTGCATAACTTCCTTTTTGCAATTCCAACACTAGCTTAGATAGTTTCACCATCAGTGCTCATGTATAGACTATCTTGTAGACTTGTAGTTGTTGTTTTTGGTAAACATGATCAAGATCTGTTCCTGTGTTGCAGTTATTTTATTTTTCCCTCAGAATAATGAAAATTTATGATAATATAAATTCAACCTTTCAGGTTATATTAGTGCTGCAATAAGTGATGGTCCAGGATGTTTGTCATTGCGATGCCCTGATCCATCTTGTGGTGCTATGGTTCTTCAGAACATGATTAATAAGTTAGCTAAAGATGATGATAAAGTGAGATATGCACGATTTATCTTACGTGCATATGTTGAAGATAGCAAGAAGGTAATATGTTTGAACAAGCTAACTAATTACTCCACTTGATAGTTCTTTGTGGAGTACCTATTTTTTATTGTTTATTTTTCTAACGATTTGAAATGATGAGCTGTGCTCTTTCTGTTAACCTTTTGTATAACCTATGGCATTTCCTGCAGACTAAATGGTGTCCAGCTCCTGACTGTACATGTGCAGTGGAATTTGTCAGCGATGGGAACTATGATGTCTCATGCAATTGCAAATTCAGTTTTTGTTGGAACGTTAGTATTTCTGGCTCCATTTTCCTGACGATTTAATTCTACTTTTTTTTATTGCTAGTGATGAAAAGTGTGGAGCTTCATCAATGCTTTGGTGATGTTTGCAGTGCACGGAGGAAGCTCATCGACCAGTGAACTGTGAGACTGTTTCTAGGTGGATATTAAAGAATAGCGCAGAATCTGAAAATATGAACTGGTATGGTTCAGGCTCAAAACTTTATTAAGCCATAGTGTACGGATAGTGTATAGATAAGGAATTCATTAATTTTTGTGGAGATAAATCTATGTTCAAACATTTGTGTTGTATATTTACTTCTTTTTTTAACCTATCCTTGATGCCAATATTGCAGCTATCTTCTAACTTTCCTCATGGTTATGAGTAAAAACTGAGGTGGTGAAAAAAATTGTGCATTTAATTTACGTACGTATATTCAGATGTTATGTATTCAGAAACATCAAACTTTGTGGACATCCTCATGTGTGACTGGTGGTCTGGAAGCAGAAGATTTGAGGATGCAAGGAACTGTGAACACTATTAACTCTTTGCTGAGTCAGGGCTGCAAGGGCTGATGCATTGTTTTTTAACAATATATTATGACGGAAAACATGTATTATATGTGGCACTGTGGCTTAAACCTCATAATAAACACCTCTTAATTTATGTTAAATACTTGGCATTGACTCCATTTTTATCAATTGATGACTTCTTTTTATGGAAAAACTTGTGGAGGCTCTAGTGAGAACATTATGCTGCTCAAGCGTTTTTGCCATGTTTACATTACAGGAATGTTTGCCTATTATACAATGCTGTTAGAATTGTATACCAATCTTCAGTTCATGGCTAGTCCATGAATGCTCAAATGTATTTAAGGTCTTTATGTTGCTTGAAATCATCTAATCATGTCAGATGGTTTATCATGTTGTTGATGATCCTTTTCAGGATACTGGCTAATTCTAAGCCGTGCCCAAAATGCAAACGACCAATAGAGAAAAACCAGGGATGCATGCATATGACTTGCACTCCACCTTGCAAATTTGAGTTCTGCTGGTATAGTCCAATGTCTATGCTTGCTGAAATATTTATGTCCATATTACTAGTGTATGTACCTCTCATTTGTTTTCTTTGAACATTTCAGGTTATGTCTGGGTTCATGGGCTGAACATGGGGAGAGAACTGGTGGATTTTACGCTTGTAATCGCTATGAATCAGCAAAGAAGGAGGGAGTTGTATGTTTTATCTTGAGACTATCCAATTGCATTTAGTAGAAGGAATCAGTTTCTAGATGTCTTGTGTATTTTGTTATTGCTTCTGTAGAATTAAATGTTTCAATCCCACAAGTCAATGTCGAGTCCAAATTGACAGTTTGTTCAATTAGTTCATTCATTCATAGAATCATAAGGGTTACTTTTTCCTAACTTAATTACCTCTAATGCAGTATGATGAGACTGAAGCAAGGAGGGAAAGAGCCAAAAATTCACTTGAGAGATACATGCATTACTATGAGCGCTGGGCATCTAATCAGACGGTATGTTCAACATGCTCAAGTTTGATGTCTCTTTGAGTTTTTTTTTCTTTCTACAACAACTATACGTGCAGCTTTAGTCATTCTTGTGCTCATAACTTACTCTGTGTTTTTGAACCTTCTGGTTTACTTGGCAAGTGTTGTGTTGGCCATATGCTTGGGCAGATACTAATTTTGACTTAAATTCTTACCTACCGAGTGTAGCCCAACTAGCTGCAGCTTTATTTGAAGATTACTTGCCAAGTTTATCTCTTACTCCCTCCGTCCTAGAATGTAGCAACCTAGGATAGGATGAGACCCATCCTAGGACAACGAATTTGGACATTCCTCATGTCCAGATTCGTTGTTCTAAGATGGGTCATCCTATCAACATTATGGGATGAAGGTAGTAAGTGCTAATAAATGCTCTTTTTTAATTTTTATGTTGTATTACCTTATCAGTTCATGATATAAAAAAATACAGTTCCAGATGTTTTTCTATACCTGATGGGTATATAGTTTCTAATCTACTGTACATGCTTGGGATGAATGTTCTGCATTGTTCTATTCTGAACTTGGAATTTTTTCTGCTGTAGTATGCAAGTTTCTGTACTGACATATTCACTTATATTGCCAGTCGAGGCAGAAGGCACAAGCAGATCTGCAAAAGGCAGAAAAGGAACAAGTAAGCATTCGCATCATGTTAGGTTGGGGGCGTTGCATTTAGGGCAAGACATAATTGTTTATCTTCGCCATTCATTCGTATTTTATATTTGATAGCTGCTAACTCTATTTCTTCTCTATGTGCTACAGCTTGCAAAATTAACAGATGTTTTTGGAATACCGGAGACCCAACTGAAGTTCATAATTGAAGCTTGGTCACAGGTTTGATATCATAAATATGTCATGACCCAAATGACACTCCATACTATACAATTCACCTGCGTCTGATGCATGCACCATTCCACTATGTCTATTTCAGATTATTGAATGCAGGCGGGTACTCAAATGGACATATGCTTATGGCTATTATCTGGACGACAAGGTCAAGAGCGAATTTTTCGAGTACCTGCAAGGTAGTTGTTTGTTGCATTCCAAAATAAAATCCTAAGTTCTACCACGTGCTTGCCAAAAATCATGTGGTATGTATATTATATCTTTTATAGGTGAAGCTGAGTCTGGTCTGGAGCGTCTTCACCAATGTGCTGAGAAAGACCTGCAATCATTTTTGACTGTGAGATCTGATAATACTGAACCTGCACCATCAATTGCTGAATTCGGTGACTTCCGGGTGAAGCTTGCGGGGCTGACAAGGTATTTCACAGTTATTGTTTTTCCTATATCCTTTTGGGTTTGGCCATATTCAACTACTGCATGCTTTAAGATAGTTACTCTTGTTTCAATTAGTACTAGTTTTTAGGATGAACCCAAGGGTTTGCTTTTCTTCATCCTTGAACGTTTTTTTTTTTTGCCGGGTCGGCCGAAAGGTTCGGTCGACCAAATTTCATTAAGGAAAAGGGGAACAAATTACAAATGGGCTTTATATCGACAGTAGGATGTCGAGATTAGGGTGGGGACAGGTCCCCCAAACAATCGAAGCCATACAGAAAAGGCTGAAGGCTACAATAAAAATTTGATGTCTTACACAATATGAAAATAACCTCCAGACGTCCACACCGAAACTTCTTCTTTGATGTCTTCCAATAACCGCTCCACGGTGTGTTGCTTGTGCTGAAAGATTTTGGCGTTGCGCTCCTTCCAAATTATCCTTGAACGTTCTTACATTGTTCTTAACAATCCTTGGGTAGGTTCACATGAATGTAACTAATTATGCCATAATTTAAATGCCATTTGAGAATTTTAGAAGCCTGAGATTTTATAATTCTAATAAAGGACATGAACTTTGTTTGTGCCCACCTTTCTCTTGGTAATGATTTAGTATTAATCCATCATGTAAAGTAGTCAAACAGTCAAAGAGGTGGACATTTCAGCTATGCTCTTTACTTGTTGACCCTAGACTTGCTTCTTTGATTTTGGTAGTTGTTGTCGCAAATGTTTTTACTTGCTAGCATTTTACAAGGTCTTGAGATGCTGTCTATGCTCATGGATAGCAGCTTCCTTGCCTATTCTTTATTGTCATATGAGCTTTGTTTACGATATGTTGACTTTGCTTCGTCTCCACTGCAGTGTGACTCGGAATTATTTTGAGAACCTTGTTCAAGCACTGGAGGCTGGCTTGGAGGATGTACACTCTACTGCCCAGGGTACCACATCAAGCAATGCCACCAACATCCCCTCCAAGAAAGCAGTCACTAAAGGCAAAACAAAGAAGCAGCTTCCTAGAACATCTTCGGACAACTCAGATGAAGGCTGGCCTTGTGAGCGCTGCACGTTTATTAACCCTTCATCGGTGGATGCATGCAGCGTCTGCGATAAGCATAGATACTAGATGAAAAACTGGCTGAAAGCCAGTGCCCCCCATAAATCTCGAAGCTGTTGAGAAGGTGGGTGCTTACTCAAAGCTCATGAGAAGATTGTTGATTGTAGTTCTGTTCCTAAATTATGTGGCGTTGAAGAAGAGCTTCCAATGGCAGCAATGGCGTACATGTGTGAGTGAAGGTCCCTGGTTGTATCTAGATTGCAGCAACAATGCAGGACCGACTATGGAGCGAAGGTGGATGGGGTACAAACATGTGGTAGTCTTTTTTTTTTTTACTTTCTAGCCTATATTATGTACATATTAGTTATGGTCTGTAGTTGTGTTAATGTGGTGGGCAATGTTCTGTTTTTGTTTAAATGACATGAGATGATGTGGTGGGTAAAGTTCCACCCCCTGTACTGACCAACCTGTGAAGCTGGAGAATGGTAGATGTAGCTCTTATCTATTGAGCGGTCATGTAAATTACCAAAGCTCGTCATAATCTATGGTTGATAAATCATGTGGGAAACTGGTGTTTACTCAGCAGTACCTGATTTCTTATAGATTCGTCGTTCGAGCTGCATATTTTGATGGATGGAATTTTTGATGTTGTGTGCATATTATAGCAAACAAAAATACCCATTTACCGAAAGAGTAGCAAAACCGGTACGATCCCCATTTCAGTTCCATTTCTCATTTCACAATCCAAGCGCAGCATCGCATCGTGTTGCCACTCCAATACATTTCTCTAAGTTGGTCTTGTATCTCTCTCTAGTTATCCCTGTCTGGTGAAGGTGAAAGATGTGCAGTTTATAAGCCTTGATGAAACAAAGTTGATGAGATTGTTGGGCATCATCGATCATCAGGGAGTAAGAGTATCCTTGCAGAGCCTCCTGCTGAGGGTGCTGAAGTTGGCCCTGGAGAAGTGCCTGGAGGCGTTCCTCCAGTCGGCGCCGGACTTCATCATGAGCTCGAACTCCTGGTAGCTGATGCGGCCGTCCTTGTCGGTGTCGACGTCGCGGAGGATCTCCAGGATGGCCTGCTCGTTTGGGCCCACCTCCTCCCGCAGCTCGTCCAGCTCGATGAACCCGCTGCCGTCCTTGTCGAAGTAGTTGAACGCCGCCGCCAGGTACTCGTCGTTGCTCATCTTCTTCAGGTGCACCGACACCGTCACGAACTCGTCGCAGTCCAGCGTCCCGTTCCCGTCCGTGTCCGCCTGCAAATTCATCATCTCATCTTCTTACTATATCCTCGATGTAATACCTCCGAGTTGATGATATTTATTGTTTTGGATAATAATTTGGTCAAACTTTCTTAAATCGTAGAAATGTAGAGACCATATGTAGAAATTAGTCTTAAAAATACTACAATAAAATATTTTTTCTAATATATATATATATATATATATATATATATATATATATATATATATATATATATATATATATATATATATATATATAGGACACTCATATGGGGCACCATGATATCAAATACACAAAATCACTCAAATTTTTCAAAATTTTCAAATTGTGAGTATATACCTAGTTATAATAACTCGATTCATACCTATACCTATCAACAAAACAACTCAAATTTAACTTTATTTCACAATCCATGATTACATACCTAACTAATTATATGTATGGATGCTATATACCTAGAATCAAAATCTAACAAAAACAAGTTCAAATTCAGTTCAAACTTGCTTTGAACTAGTTAGTAAAGTAGCTAATGTTAATATCTAAGTAATTGAAAAAGTTTCATACTCATTTGAATTAGGTATATACTCAATTTCAACAATGGTGCCCGGGCACCATGGAGCACCAAACAAATTTACTATATATATATATATATATATATATATATATATATATATATATATATATATATATATATATATATATATATATATATATATATTGTAATAGAAAATGGTGGCTATAATTGTTTATTTAAGACCGTTTACTTGTCTAAAACGACAAGTAATCAATAAATTAGCTAATAAGTTCAATCGATAAAAATCTTGCATTATCTTTGAAAAGCGATTTTGAGAGTGAGAATACGAGGGTCTGACCACCCCAATTCAACGGTACAGTTATATCTTCACGATGTAATTGGATGAGCTCGATAAAATATTTTATTATCTTTTTTAAAAAACGATTTTGAGATCGAGAAAATGAGAGTATGATCATCCATCACAATTCAACGGTTTACAGTAATATCTTCTCGATATAATTGGATGATCTCAACAAAATCTTCAGAAAAATAATGATTTTGAGATCTCCTCGGTGTAATTGAATGAGCTCGATAAAAATCTTCCATTATCTTAAAAGAAAATGATTCTGAGATCAAGACTCAAGAAAAATGATTTTTGAGATCTTCTCCATGTAATTGAATGAGCTCGATAAAAATCTTCCATTATCTTAATAAAGAAAATGATTCTGAGATCGAGATCGAGGAGATGAGCAGAAAGCTTACGGCTTCGAGTAGCATCCTGATCTCGGGCTCGGGGACGGGCTGGCCGTTGATGTGGAGGCCTTCCAAGAGTTCGTCGAGCGACAGGTGCCCGTTCTTGTCCTTGTCCATGTGGTGGAACATCTGCACGTACTTGTCCACCTCCTCCCCCGGCAGGTTCCGCGCCACCACCTTCACCGGACACCGCCGTTGTTAGCTCCGGCGACCCATCAAGATCATCGCAACACAGAAGCAATGAGACAACTCGACGACTTACTCCGAGAGCCTTCTTCTTGAACTTGTTCATGGCGGAGAACTGCTGCAGCCTCGCCCGCACGGCGTCGCCCAGCGACACGTTCGGCGCCGTGTCCGCGTTCTTCAGCCATGGATGCTCTGTTTTTGTTTCAAAACCAATCGACGAAACAAACAAAATGATGTTTGATTTCCAGTAATCATGTGTATATCTGAATCATTGAGAAGGTTTGATTAAGTTGTTTACTTACCAAGAACTTGTTTGGCCGTCAGGCGGGTGGATGGGTTAGGATCAAGCATCCTCCTGACGAGGTCCTTGGCGTTGGCGGAGACCCTCGGCAATGGCTCCCTGTTGAAGTCGATGGCGCCGCGGAGGATCGCCTGCGCGATCTTCTCGTCGTTGTCTGCACATTTGCAAGTTCAGACAAGATTACAGTTATAGTTTTTTTTCATGACAAGAATTGACAGGGGAGATGATTTGCATCATCATGGTGAATTGGTAATGTATTTTTTTAATAAATGATACCGTTAACTTTTTTTTTAATATTTGACAATTCGTTTTATTAAAAAAAATATGTAAATCTTTAAAACATAAATAATGTTTAAAGTTTCTTAGTGATAAATCAAACGAAAAATATTTAATATTTTTATAAGGTAAAATGATTGAACATGACTAAAAAGTTAAATAGTATCATATATATAGTAAAAAAGGAAGTTAAGATATGATCCCGTTATTTTTTTTATAAATATTTGACTATTCGTATTATTCAAAACTTTTGCAAACTATAAAAAAAAGTTTAAGTCATACTTATAGAATAATTAACAATAAACTCACAATAAAATAAGCGGTAATCACATAATCTTTTTTTCAAAAAAATTATCAAACATATCTTTAAAAATCAATGACATTGTATATTAAAAAAAAAGGTAATTAAGGTGAGTATATACCTCCCCAGAATGGAGGGACGCCGCAGAGGAGGATGTAGAGGATGACGCCGGCGCTCCACACGTCCACCTCCGGCCCGTAGCTCCGCCGCAATACCTCCGGCGCCATGTAGTACGCGCTCCCCACCACCTCCGTGAACCGGTCGCCTGCATCAACATTTGATTGGTTTCAGAAACCATGGAGGATTTGACAGAAATCATGGACGATGAGAGGTGGAAATTTTGCTGAAGATCGACGTGCCTGGCTTGAAGAACACCGAGAGGCCGAAGTCGATGACCTTGAGCGGCGAGTCCTCCGATTTGTTCGCGAACAGGAAGTTCTCCGGCTTCAGATCGCGGTGTATCACCCCGTTCGAGTGGCACAGCTGCATCCATCGACCGATCGATCACAGATTGTTGGTGATTAATTAGTGATTACTCGTTTGATTTGATGCATCAATGGGAGAAGAAGAAGATGATGTGTAGTGTTCGTTCTTGATTATTACCTGGACGACGTCGACGATGGTGCGGAAGATGTTGGCGGCGGCGCGCTCGGAGTAGTGTCCGCGCGCCACGATGCGGTCGAACAGCTCGCCGCCCTCGCAGAGCTCCATGACGAGGTGGACGGAGCCGTCGGCGGCGTCCTCGCATGCCTCGCGGAGCCGCACCACGGCGGCGGACGACGCGGCGCCGCCCCCGCGCGACGACGACGCCGACGACATGCGCCGCATGATGGCCACCTCCCTCTTCACGTCCTCCCCGTGCGCGGCCGCCGCCTTCGCCGCGGTCACCCGCGGCGGCGCCAGGCGCCTGTGCTTCCGGATCGTCTTGCACGCCAGCGCCTCCCCGGTCGCCGCGTCGCTGCACCGCCGCGTCACCCCGAACTCCCCGCGCCCCAGCTCCTTCCCCAGCACGTACCGCCGCGCGAACTCGTCCGCCGTCGTCGTCGCGATGGCGACGACGTCACCGCCATCGTCACAGCCACCACCACCACCCCTCACGTCGTCGCCGTCGCCATCGACGCCGTCCTTGCGCGGCGAGGCGGCCTCGGCGTCGGGGACCGGGTCGGGGATGACGAGGGAGATCTTGCTGATGCGGCCGCGCAGCTTGCGCGAGGAGGCGTAGGCGGAGTAGCAGCCCCCCATCGATCGGGCGCCGATCGACGGCGGCGGCGGCGGCGGCGACCTCGCGGCGGCGCACGCAGAGGGCGAGCTCGCGTCGCGCGCGCGGCCTCCTCCTCTGTGTGTGTCGCGCTCGCGCGGCTCGCCGGGCGTGTCGCGTCGCGTGTGGGCTTTTTAATTAGTGCATGCGGCGGGAGAGAGCGTAGCAATTATTTATGGGAGGCGCGTAGGAATCCGGGTGGGTACAGGTTGTAGGAGAGTTTGCGCGGTGTAAAACGTGTTTCGGGTGCCGCGTTGCTACTCTGCTATGCTATGCGAATCGGAATATGTGCCGCTACGTACGTTACCTAGCTTCATAGCTAAGCTGCATGAGATGAAGACAACAGCTGTATTCTACTGCTGCTGCTATCTCACCCCAGCTATCCTGCATATATAGATCATCTAACTTTGAGTAACTTTTGAGTAACTGATATGTGAATTCTATAGCCGTGGGTTCACATGTCAGCGACCTACCTTAGAGAATAGTAGTGTGTTAGAGAATAGTAGTGTGTTAGAGGAGCCCTTTTCGTATCATACAAAGCAAAAGCCTTCGTCACTACTTGTTTGCATACCGAGTTGCCAACTAGTATATACAAAGTTTGAACTATAAAATGCAGGTATCACTCGCATACTTCTCAACAAGAACTTTGTTTTCTTCTATATAAATAAAGGTATCTAAAGTCGCTTAGAGCAAAAGTCCTTTGTAAATCTATATATGGTGTAATCTTTTAGTGTTTTATAGTGAACTCAAATATATAGAAACAAATAAAAGCCCGTGCGTCACTCCCATGGGACCACCTAGTGTCGCAACCTCGATCTTTCTTTCTTCCCCATCGCTACTGCTAGAGCAGTCCAGCTGGAGCCCATTTGGCTTCAAGGAGCCAAGGACAATGGTAGTGGCGAGGCGTCCTTTTTTCCTCCTTCATCATACTACGTCATAAGGCTCTCGTGACTCATGGAGAAGGTCACTACTTAAGCGGCCAAGGAGGCAAAATGGTGTGCAGGGGAGTTGGACGAGGAAAAGGTGGCTATTAGTCATATACTTGATAAGGTGCTCGTGCTAAGGCCGGCTAGTGCACAAAGACAACTAGATCCAATGTCCCTCCGGTTGGATCTGTTGTTTCTTGACCCGATCAGCGTAGTACGGAAGGGGCGATGGCCTGTAACAAGGAGGTATGAATATGTGGAGAGAGACGGCACAACCGCGAGGTGGCTAGTCGGTGTGGAGCGTGGAGGTTAGGCAGGCGTGATTGCATGGGTTCAGGTAGTTGAAGGGCGCAAGGCCTAAGGCCGCACATAGTAGCAACGCCACGATCACACGAGTGGTGCAAGCATGAGTTGCCAGGGCACGGAGAGGCACCGATCGGCTCTGGCTAGATCCGGGTGCGCGGCGGCAAAGGATGCGTAGAGGACAATGAGTTCTCTCTTTCACTATAGGCTAGGTTTTCCCTTATTTTTACTTGGTGTAGGATGGTGTTGCCTGCTTGCATAGTTGCACTGCCATTTCTTGCTTAAATCCTCCTATTCTAGCCACATAGAAGAAACACTTGAGGAGGGTGTGATTGATAGGAAGTGACTAGACGGAAGCCTTGCCCTAGTTTTGGTAGGTACCGGTGATGGCAACAACTATGGGTGCCGCTTTCCTCGTTGGAGGCGTTGTCGTGCTGAATTCTCTCTCTTGCTTTTATATGAAAACCTAGTCCTAGAGTTCCAGGAGGCAATGACAACGTCCTCGACGTTATGTCCTTATTTGAGGCTCTGTTTAGAAGGTCATGTTCCACTTTGATTAATCGCTGATATCCCTTTTGTCAGCATTGTTGATCGTGGGGGTTGAGGATAACCCTAGGAAGTTGGAGCTGCTTGGTCTTTGGCTTTAATCTTAGCAACGGTGACTTGTGTCGGTTGTCGTCAGTTGTGGTGGGTATGCCGCTTGGGACAATTGCGTTATTTGCTCCGTGGAGGTTTTCGCTGGATTTCTTCCAAATTAAGCTTGGGACTATTGCATTATTTGCTCCGTGGAGGTTTTCGCTGGATTTCTTCCAAATTAATTGAACATTTGTAAGGTTTTAAGACATGGTTTCCTTTTGTAAATTGGATTAACTTACTAGAACGGGATCAGTTATCTCTAACGAGCCTAAAGCCTCATATCTTTCAGACAGGACCCCGTCACTGAGCAAAGGTTACTGATGTGAGAAAATTTCTCCGGCCGTCACGGATGACACACATCTCAATCGGGCCAACACTATAGCCCGTCACGGATGACTCTCATCTCTAATAGGCCTAAGTCACGGATGACACACATCTCAATCGGGCCAACACTATAGCCCGTCACGGATGACTCTCATCTCTAACAGGCCAACACTATAGCCCGTCACGGATGACTCTCATCTCTAACGGGCCTAAATTATAGCTTGCTAGCCACGCCCGCGGGCCAGTCTTTTCTGCGTACTTTATCCTCACTCGTGTGCATCCGGTCGATCACCCATTCCGAAATTGCTCCACCCTTGGCTCGCTTAACCTCAGAGTTCTTTGGAGATCAGCTTCCTAAGAAGAAGTTGTATATTCATTTACATACACAACCATCGATATATTTAACACAACCACATTCACATAACATCCATTTTGATCATATATTTCACATCCATTCACATATTTCACCAGCAAAACTGAGTTAATATATATTTAGCAAGTATTAACATGATGAGGAGACAAATAAGACTTCTAGGCAAAAATAAATTTCGAATTGAATTTTATGATACTAAATGAACTCATACGAAAAAGCTGTCAAAAACAAAAACAAAGTTGTACAACTCATTGAGATCTACCAATTTTATTTTGGTCATTTCTTCATCCGGGTTTGATTGAACTATATAAAATTTGAATTTTAAAATATAAGAAATTCAAATAATTTTTCGGGTAGTAAATGATTTCAAATGGAAATATTGTCAACAACAAAGTTGTATAACTCATCAAGATCTATAACTTTTATTTTGGTCATTTTTCTATATAACATTTTTTGAACAGTTTGAATTTGAATTTGAAAATATGACAACTTCAAACAATATTTTCAAATACTAAATGATTTCAAATGGAAAGGTCATCAACAATAGAGTTGTATAACTTATCAACATTTACAGCTTTTATTTTGGTCATTTTTCTATATAATATTTTTTGAATAGTTTGAATTTGAATTTAAAAATATAACAACTTCAAACAACAATTTCAAATTCTAAATGATTTCAACTGAAAAAGTCATTAACAACAAAGTTGTATAACTCATCAAGATCTATAACTTTTATTTTGGTCATTTTTTCATCCGACAAAGTGATAGTAATATTGTTCATAAAATTCACATATCTCTCACCTAGTTGTTGAGATATGATCGCACAAACATGTTAGATGGAAATAAAACTCAGGCCCGTCACGAATGACACATATCAGTGACGAGCCGTAGTTTAGACCCGATTGAGATAACATTCCATATCTCAATCGGGCCCCAAGTTGGTGTCCATCACGGATGATATGTGTCATCCGTGACGGACCTGCGTTATCTCAATCGGGCGCTTTTTCGGCCCGATTGAGATGACTTTCTTATGACAGTCCGCTAATTCTAAGCATGTTAGAGGCCGTTAGAGATGGAAGGTTACGTACTAGTGACTGTTATTCTATAATGAAAAAAAGGAACTCCCTGCATTTCTTTAGAGTTCTCTTCGAAAATAAATCGTAGAGAACACATTCACAAGAGAAATAAATTACTTAATTACAAAAAGTCTGATCTGATAGTTGATCAGCTGGTCGTTTGGCTTTTCTGAAGAATACAAGAAGGCACGACATGCAATCAGCTCGGTCACCGGTGGGGTTCGGAGTTTTATTCTCCGACCCCCGGCAGTCACGAACATTCTTCACTTTTTCTTTACAAACAGGAAACTAAACTATAGCTCCAGCCTCCAATGGTGATGTTTGATTGCTCCAATAGTGATGTTTGATTCAGCTGATGGCCTCGCCTACCAGAAGAAGGCGCAACATGCAAACGGGATAATCGAACAGCATACAGTACAGGCATCCAACACACTGATCCTTGCAGGCGTTTGCACAGCGGAGAGGCATTGGAGGAGGGTCGGCTAATGGTGAACACTCTCGCTGAATTTTCTATTGTCTGCTCTTAATTAATTCCTTGCACTGAAGACTATCCGGCACTGAAAGAAGAAGGAAAAAAAAACTAAAATCTGACTCGATTCAATCAACGAGGGAATACATTCAGAACTCAGAAGGGAACTCCACAAAAAGGAATTCAGACATAGCATGTCGTCATTGAGTGATTAGGGAAGAGAGAAATACTGATCAATGTGATGACTGAACAGAAGAAAGCATGACATGCAGTCTGCTCTGTGATCGTTTGGGGTTCGGTGTTTTCTTCTCCGAACTCCCTAACAATCGGATATTTCTGTGGCGACTTGTACTAATGTTTTACAGGCTCATGAAGAAGCCCAATAGCTGAGTCCAATAATTTCCTTACCGCGTCCTTGGGTAATTTAGGCAGTGGCGGACCCAGGATTTGAACCTAGGGTAGGCCTAGCGAAAAAAATCTAAATGCAATACATCATGATTCGATATAAAATCTGTAAAACGATACGGGTATATAACTCTAAATAGTTCAATACAAGTAGAAAATAATAAATAAGTTTAAAATTTACCTAAATGACAATGTAAATTGCCCCTTCATCAACTTTTTTTGCTTCATGCTTCTGAAAAAGAAATACACTGCTTGACTTCTTCATTCCTCAATCTCCTAACAACCATCACACCATGCAAAAAAGTCATATGAGGTTCATTGTGGCGCACAATTTTGTGGTAATCTATACAAATTACTATATCCCCAATTGGCTAATCATGGATATAAAGAACTTGATTATTGAAGGAGGTAGTACTGCCTGCTGACTACTGCAAGGGGGAGAGTAGAGGGACTGAGGGAGAGGAGAGCCGGACTGCCGGAGAAGCAGTGGCGCAGTGCTCACCGGAGGGGGAGGGCCGCCGGATGCGGGATGCCGGCCAGGCGGCGGGCGCCGAGGCAGGGCGCGCGCGCCGATGCGCGTCGGGGAGGCCGGAGGCGGTGCGACCGCGACGGCGCGAGTCGGGACTCGGGAAGGCGGGCAGGCCGGCCGCCGGCGCGAGGGGCAGAGCGCCGCTGCGCCGTCGCGGCGCCGTCGAGACTCGGGAAGGCGGGCAGGCCGGCCGCCGGCGCGAGGGGCAGTGGGCCGTCGCGGCGCCGTCGGGACTCGGGAAGGCGGGCAGGCCGGCCGCCGGCGCGAGGGGCAGAGCATGAGTAAAAAAAATTTAGCTTGCGTTGGATTGGAGAAAAAAAAAATCAACCAAAGAAAAAAAATCAGAACACGAGTAATTCACAACTAAATCTTCCTTCATCTTAAACAATGCAAAGCATATCTCTGTTTATACAATGTACATTGTGCAAATCCTTTAATCATCAAATTGCACATGCATGAGAGGTTACGGCCCAAACATCGATAGGCCCAAATATTGATGGGCCTAACTGGACCTCTATTTTGGAAGGGCTATCTCTGAACTTCTTCTTCTTCTTAAGTCGGCGGCGAGGGTTTCGTCTCCTTCTCGCCGCTTTGTCCCGCGCTGTTCCCCTCTCGTTTCAGCTCCAGCACGAACCGCGCCGCGGCGGCGGCGGCGAGAGAGGCGTCTCTTCTCCGAGCATGGCCACCACCACCGCGCCGGAGGACGCGCCGTCCGCGGCCAAGGGGGCTAAAGGAGAGGCGAAGAGGAAACAGAGCAACTGGCGTGGGGGAGGAGGAGGCGGCGGCGGCCGCGGCGACGGGGGTCAGGGGCAGAAGCGGAAGAGGAAGGAGGTATTCGTCTACGGGAACTACAGGAACTACTACGGCTACCGGGTGAGTGAACACCCACCCCTCCCCCTGTCGCTTCTCTTGCGGGCGCGCAGATCGTTGCTGTGTGTATGAGCGCACCAACTGTTCGATGGAATGCCTCGATGGTGGTCGCGGTGCTCGTGGGATTGGGATGGTTCATGGGTTTGGATTGGAACGCTGAATGGATATCAGTCGAAGCTCTCGCTTAGAATGTACCTTAGTTACAGTGGTGTCATTTCTGATTTAATTTGTTGTGGTTTGCAGTAGACCAGTTTAGGTTCTTTTATTGGGGGCATGTAGAATGTAGATAATCAAATTTCTGTTTCTATTCCGTTTCCTTAGTTCAGCATTTTGTTGTTTATCAGAATGATTGTGTCGGGTATCCAAGTGAACAACAAATTTCACTATTTCAGGAAAGCAAAATCGTCTAATTTACTTTGACTGATTATTTAGTCATAACATAAGTAGGTCGAGGAAGTGCCCCCATACCCTGCATATCATAAGTACACCTGGTGGCGAAGGAAGGAGTGAAGTATCAGGGAGCCTAGTTAGATCTTGTTGTTTCCTTAAGATTTGCCAATGCCAAAGTGTACTGTAGATTTCTTCAGACAAGGAGGGGGGAAGGGTTTATTTCACATTCTACTTGCAGCGCTGCATGTGGTACTTCTCTTAGTACAATATAAATCCCATTCGATGGCCGGATACTGCAATCCTTATCTTGTTTTCGCCGGATACTGCAATCCTTATCTTGTTCTCATCTGATAAATTCTCTCTTCTGATGTCTCTCTATTAGCTTATACATCCTTTCTTCTAATGTTCTACAGATTGACCGTAATGTTGATGAAGACCCTCGTCTTAAAATATTTAAGAGAGAGTGGTTTGAAAGCAAGGATTGTCTTGATATTGGATGCAACCAGGGTTTGGTAACGATTGGTCTAGGTAAATCATCTTTGTGCAATATTTAGTACTATTTTGTTTGGTTGATGATCTGTCTTGTCCATTTGAACAAAAATGATATATCTAATTCATAATTGTATGGTTGTACAGTTACGTTGTTGTACCTCTTATAAATAGAATTGGGAATTCTGTATCAATGTTAACAGAGACGGTATTTAAAATTTAAACTATTTGCAGTATATATTCTTTTATCTATTCATATGTGTTACTGTAAGATACTTTGTATGTCTGTGTTAGTTAAATTTTATTACTAGTATGGTTTCTCATTTTATTTGTGAACCTTGTGCAGCTGCGAAATTTAAATGCCAAAGCATTCTTGGAGTTGATATTGATTCAGGTTTGTTAACTAATGTTTCATGTCTTTCCTAGGCAAACATATTGTTATAAATTTTGTAAAGCTATTTTCTTGCTATACTGATCCTGATCTTGTCCTGTTAGGTTTGATCGAAACTGCCAACTGGAATTTAAGAAGGATGTCTCGACTGGATAAGGTGGTTGTAGAAAACACCAAGGCTCACAAGTCATCAGATTCACCGTCTGAAAGCTGTCCGGAAAAAGTGGCACCTGAGATATCAAATGGGGATATTTCTAATGGCAGTCATCATGATATTTTTAAAGTTGTTTCTTTTCGTCGCGAGAATTTTGTGGACAGCATGTGTACAAGTTCAGAACAGTATGATACAATTGTTTGGTAAGTTACAAATTATAATATAGATCTCATAGATTTTCTGCTGTCATTAATAATAGTCACTTTGTCGTTTTTATATTGCAACATATTTGTGAAAATTGCCATCATTACCCACATTGGATGTCATATTGACACATGCGTTTTTATATGCTTTTATTCTCATGCAGTTTGAGTGTGACCAAATGGATCCACCTGAACTGGGGTGACGATGGCATAATTACTTTATTTGTGAAGATCTGGAGACTTCTAAGACCGGTATCTATCTGTCTTTATGTTTCCTGTGCTTTGGTAAAGTAGATGTCAATGATAAGATGAAAAAAAATAATAAACTATTTTCCCACTGGATTCTCTTGTTTTTCAGGGTGGAGTTTTTATTATGGAGCCTCAACCTTGGACCTCATATAGGAGAAACAGATTGGTTTCAGAGGTATCATTTTCCCCAATGCCATACTGATCTCTGACACCCAGTTGATTATTTTCTGGATCGCGTTGAAGTTTGAAATGCTTATTGTGTTTCTATGTCAGTTGTTGAAGGCTAGAGTTATTTTACTTTCAGCCCCTTGCTTGTGTAAAAGCTACAGTTGCGGTTGTGGTTTTAGCTGCTTGCTTGGCTTTATCGTCAGTATGTTGGGGCCTCACTCTTACTGGACCTGCTTTCTTAACCCCCTGTTATTTCAATCTTAAGATTACTAGAATGAACATACTGGCAGAAATCTTAGTCCTCATTAAACATTTGATTCTTCCATGACCGCAGTTTTTTTTTTATCGTGCAAAGTTGCAATACCTCACTCTTTTTTGTGTTACATCTTTCAGGTTGCCAAAGAGAACTTCAATACCATCCTAATACATCCAGATAAATTCCGGGAGATACTTCTAGACAAGGTATGTTCTAATGTCAGCCACGAATTCTATGTTCAGTTCTTGGCCCCAGCAACAGAATTTTTGCCTCACCATGCATTGTTCCTTGCAGATCGGATTCAGGTCGGTAGAGGTGGTTACGGACAAACTGGAGGGCGCTGTTACTGGTTTTGACCGCCCAATCGAAGTTTACCACAAAGTGATGGGAACTGGATCAAGTTCTTGACATTTCCTGCCAAAGGCATATGTGGTGCTTCAGATGTGCAGCTTGTTTTAGTGGGATTCATTGAGCTCCATGACGCTTTCTTCCATTCGACAAACTTCAACGATGGCGCCCTCACATACCGCTGGATTTGCATTTGCAGAAGACTATTTGAACGCCCAAGGAATGAGATGGGTAGATTGGAACTGTTGGTACGTCCTCTTTGGAAGTTTTGACATTTTGTAGGACGATCGATCGGTTTCCAAAAAAAAAAAAAACATTTTGTAGGTCGAGGCAGTTTTGCCTGTGTAAATGAATGGTGGATACGTACGTATGAAAAATATTGTTCCTCGAGGAAAATCACATCTCGTTTGCTAGTAATATGAATATTGTCACTGCAAGCACAATTTCGATCCAAAAACTGGAGCGGGCGGCCTGAAAGGATTGGTGTATATCGGAATCGGACGGAGTCGTTGAGTCAGCCTCGAGTCATCAGATTAGCAAGTCAGTTATTACAAACTTGTGATCGCGAGAAAAATCTTCAGAATCCAATCCAATAATCTAAGGCGAAAGAGAGAGGGATCAATCTTGAGATGGAGCGGACGTTCGTGCCGCTGATGGGGCAGCGCGAGTATCTACGGTGGATCTGGGTGCCGCCGCCGCCGATAGACGAGTGGGCGACGAGGGAAACTTTGACGGAGCGGATGGAGTACCACCGGAACGTGTTCGCGCGGCGGGAGGCGGAGGAGAAGGAGCGCAGGCTATCCAAGGTGGTGAGGGAGAGCACGGACGCCGAGGAGGTGGCGCGCGCCAGGGCCGACCTCTACGAGCGCGTCACGCTCAGGACGGAGGCCCGCGGCGGCGGCGGCTTCACCCTCGCCGGCCGACTTCATGTCCGGGGCCTTCTCCGGCTTCCTCCCCCCCGGCTACCCCCTCCCCCTCAACCGCCCTCCTAAGCGCCACGCCGCCGGAGACGAGGACGACGACGACGAGGAGGACACGGCGTCCTCCATCACCACCTGCCGCGGTGAGAGGAAGGAGAAGAGGCAGCGGATCGTCGTTCCGCAGCGGATTCAAGACGGGAAGGAGGAGGACGCGGCATCTGAATCCGTCGCTTCCCATCAGGTCGGAGAAGAGGAGGAGGAGACCGGAGGTGAAGCTCTCGCCTCCTCCTCCAGTCCGTAGATCGCTAGCTGATCGATCTCCACCTGCATCTAATCATCCATTTGATCGAATGATCGTACGTTACAGTGGTGATGGAGTTTGGATCAAACTACACCTGTTTACTGGTTTTGAGCTTCATGGTAAATTTCTTACATTGGACAAACTACATGGAAAATGTTTTTATGTATATCACCTAAATAGTTATGAAAATTTTAAAAAATTTTACAAGATAAATTAGTATGAAATATATCACTTCACAAATAATGTTAAGTTATAATAACAAATATAACTGTGAATGTATGAGAACTATTTTCAGTTTAATTTGTTCTTTTTTTTACAACTTATGGAAGTTGAATTTGGTCTTGTATATTTATGGAGAGATATATTTCATATTAATCTATATTAATATTTTTTTTATTTTTTTATAACTATTTAGATGACAAGCAAATTACGAAGCAACGAGAGGATGTCCCCTTGAGGGATGAAAATTCACATCCAAACTACAGTAATGGCGGCTTCGCATAGCTGGATTTTACAAAATTCAGCTGTATTCTGTTGCATGAAGAAGACTGGGAATAAAACTCACATGTTGTAACTGCATGTAATTAAGTTGGTAATCGATGAAGAAAATCATAGCTTCTCCGTCGATCTCCCGTACTAAATGTTTAAAAGTTGTGGCTGATCCATTCCCAGAAAGACATTCTGAAAAGCCATTGATCAATCGCTGTCTGAAATGCGACTAGATCCCAAAAGCCCCAAGGAAGGTACAGGTTCAAACATCTCTCTATCCTCTTGCCAACCCAAGCAACGAATCCAAATCTTCTCCAGCTTTTCATCACGCCCCCAAAAATATATCATCAGCTACTAGTTCACTCACTGTCCCTGCAACTTCTCGCACACATACTTCTTGTTCTTGCATGCACAACAGCATAAGCAGCAAGCAAGCGAGCAATGGTTTGCATCAGCGTCGCCGAATGCCAGCGCGTGCACCGGTCGGCGCTGGACTACTTCCTGGCGGTGCTCATCGTCGTCGCCGTCGTCGTTGCGGCGAGGCTGCTCATCTGCGCCGTGGCGCGCTGCCTCGTCCACAACGTCGCCGGAGCGGCGGCGCACCACCACCACCACCACAGCCCGACGACCACCGACGACGACATCGAGATGTGGGGCGCCGGCGGCACCACCGGGCCGCCGCCGCCGGCGATCTACCGGCACGCGCAGCAGGCGAGCCAGCTGCAGGAGCTGGAAGCCGCTGAGCCGCCGCGCGCGGGACGAGCATTGACAGTGGCAGAGTAATTAAGTTGGTGTCTTTTGATTACGGATACATGTAACAAAATTCCAAAGCTTTTGAGTATATGCATTCTTAAATTATTTGTAATATATAAAAGTCGTACAAGCACTGTGAATTCGTGGGGTTCTATCAAATAATATGAATTCATAATTTCTTCATGTCTCTATGGTAAAACAAGCATGTAACAGCAGCATTTTTTTAGAGAAGGTATTTTTACCCGGCGTCTATATCTAACCGGATATATGTAGCTTTTTTAGCCTTTTTTTAATATAAACTTAGTCTATCGAAGAGAAAACTAGTTCTCAAATAACCCAATCTGAAATTCGCTCCTATGCATATTTGAACTTAGAATCTTGGGTGCTACTCAGGACACTGCAACCACTAGACTACATGTCCTTTTAGCATGGTATGTACTAACTAGAACTGTGACGATTTCAGTATGATTCGAAGTTAATTAGAACCATCATTCTTCAAATCAGAACCCAGAGTGACAGAGGGTTTCGATGCACAAAACTTGTTACAAACTTCCCCACAAACAATAAGAATCTATCAAATACAAATCAAATTTCCTAGGGATTTAGTAGAATAATGATCAGTTGAGCCTCTTGACGCGGACGATGCGGTTGAGCTCCTCGCGAACGGAGACGAGCAGCACGTACGCCTCACGTGCGCCCTCCACGTCCACCACGTGCTCCACCGTGCCGGAGTCGGGGTCGTAGAAGCCGCCGCCGTCGACCACCCGCACCTCGCCGCCGTCGACCACCGCCACCTCCTTCTCCTTCCCCTCCGTCGCCGTCACCGTGAGCAGCAGCACGGCCCCGTCGTCGTCGTCGACGTACTCCACGCACCGCACCGCCTCGCGGACGCCGCCGCCGCCGTGGACCGCCGCCGGCACCATCCTGTCCTCCATCAGCGGGAACACCTCGCCGGCGATCTCCAGGCACTCGCGCGCGTCCTCCTCGTCGTCGGGGACGAGGCGGCGGCAGTCCTCGCGCCGGAAGAAGAGCGGCTTCCCGTCGTACTCCACGCAGTCGCGCACGACGCCGCCGCCGGACGTCGCGACGCGCCACCTCGTCAGCCGCGGAGCGTACAGGGACGCCATGGCCGCCGGTGACGAAGAAGCGAAGGTGGCTATGGCGGCAATGCCCTCTGATCGATGGCGACGATGCGCTAGCTTCCGAATTGCTTGAGGTCTCATCAGCGCCAGAATCTGAATTTATCAGGGCACGAACTCGTGTGGAAATCAGACTCGGAGTCCGACTCCGAGTCCGTGTCAGGTTAAGTCGTTTGGATATTGATCTGGAGAGAGAGATAATCAAAACACCATTGGATAAGCAAACTCATAACCGCGTTGCTCATCTACCGCATATGCGAAGATTAGATCCGTACCCATAAACGAAGTTTCAAGAAAAAATGCAGCAGAAAAGCCACATGATCATACCTGACTGTACATCTATGCAATTCATTTTATCTTTTAGAAGAAAACCTTTATGCATTCAAGCTACGGAGAGATTCTATTCAACAAATTGTGCATCTTGTCGACACAAATATAAAATAAGTATAAATTAGAAATACACAATCATTCAACAAGAAGCGCCCTTATAGCTCAGTGGTAGAGCGTCAGTCTTGTAAACTGAAGGTCCGTAGTTCGATCCTGCGTGGGGGCATTTTTTAAATTTTTTTTTGTCACCTGTCTTCCTTTTTTTCCCCTCTTTTGATCATTGTTCAAACCTCTAGCCCCAATTGAATGATTTAATTCTAGACTTTCACTCCCTCGATATTTCGATATGTTCGAGGCATGAAACAGAGCTAAAGTTTTCGTTGGTGATTCCGATTCTCCCGAATGGGCAAGAACACACAACACATGACTACAATGACAGCAGCCATATCAAAGAATCCTAACCTTCGTAGCAATCAGTAAATTCACTGTCTAATTACATCCAGTATTCCTACTGATATCATATACAGGTAAAAAAGAATATCTTTTGTTTCTCTGTTTTGAGAAATCAAACTATGAACAAAAGTGAAAAAAAAAAAGAACATGTAATCACTATGATCTTCAGTGACCGGGTCCCTTGGGGCTCGGTCCGGCCGGCAACCTCGCCAGCAGCAGCTCCACCGTCTCCTTGGCCTTCTCCACCATCGCCGGGTACACCATCGACTCGTATCCCCCCTCGCCGCAGTCCACCAGCCGCTCCTCCGCCTCCTCCGGCGCCGGCCTCGCCGCGTCAGCACGGGAAGCGGCGACCGCCATGATCACCACGATGACGACGACGAACACGGCAAGAACTCGTCTCCTCCACGAACACATCAGAAAGTTCAGAGAGATTCAGAGGCCGAGACAAAGAGAGCTTAACACCAAACTGAAGTCTGAAATTTTCTCTGAAACACTTTGGTCTTTTGGTTGGTGCTCTGCTCTATATATAGTTCGAGAGGCGGTTTGATTTGTAAGCATTTTGATTGCGTGTTGGCTGGAGCAGTTGACGCATGTGTTCAGTAGAAAAATATCGAAATGAGTTGGTGGAGAGATTGTGTGGAGCCATGGATTTGGAAAGAGCAAACTTGTGGGGAGAAAACATTGACCCAGTGCAGATTTGGGAGCAAACCTGTCACCTGTGGGAAGTCAAGATATTGGACTTGGAAAACGCATGCTGAATTCTTGTTTTTCTTTAAAAAAAATTCCATGTGATTGTGTAATCACTTGGACATTTATCAATGTTTTTGTCATGCAAGAGATAATACAAAAAATATCAAACTCAGAGCATGTCTGAATCGGTTCTACGAAAGATTGTATCAGACTAAAAAATACCTCATGTTTGCCGTACTGTGGTTATCTGCTAATCATTCTGTAATCTGTACCAGCAAGGTTCAAGTGAGCTTCCTTTTTGAAAGAAACGAACGAACTAGCACACTGTTAGCACATGACATCAACTGTGTTGGACAGGTCAAAAGGCGAGTAATATATTCTTCATTCTGTTATGGTCAATGAAGTAGGAGTTCGTTGTTGAATTCTGTGGGTTCCGTATATCCGAATGGGAATGGCGACAGGCTGCTGTCCTTGGCCGTGGATTGGACTTTGAAATTCATGGTTGCTGGGGTTCCGGGAAGCAGCACAGGCTGAAAAACTCTCTGCATGCGTCTACACTTGCTCAGTAGAGTGGGAAACTGAAGAATTTTTGTGTCACTGACTAACAAACTGAAGAATTTTTTTGTGTCACTGACTAACAAATCCCAGCATGAACTCTGATCTCCACGATGATCACCATGGGTCAATAGAGACGAACTTGGACAGAAATCGAGTTGATTAATCCGGGCAAAAAAATGAACTAAAATAAGTAATTTGAACGAACATTAATCTTGGCAAAAAAAAAAGTTGATTGCATAATTCATGTTAAACTATACGCTTGCTTTACCATGGGCAAAAGAGAAAAAATATTATAATATACCATAACAAAATATTTTTTATCAAATATATTTTATAATTTTTAATCAAATATCTTAGTATCACTTGGTTGTTTATTTGATTAGTATCTGTTATTCACTTGTTCAAACTAAATGTTGTACTATTTCATAATATTAAAAAATATTAGGGAACAATTTATAAAAGCAATATCAAGGTGACTTACCACTATAACTTGAGGCTTTTAAAGGAGTATAGAGTGCACATCAACCCGACCAATTGGGACCAACCGACATCAATCCACGGTTGGTGGATATAGCTGGAAACCCACCATGAGGAACCTAGGAGAGGAGTTTAGAACCTTGCTCCTTCCGATGTGTTCGCTAGAGGAAGTTGGTAACTCAGCGCACGAAAAACAGAGCGGTCCATTAGCGCGTGATTACTTAAGTATTAGCTATTTATTTTTTCAAAAATGGATTAATTTGATTTTTTAAGCAACTTTTATATAGAAACATTTTTTTTAAAAAAACGCACCGTTTAGTAGTTTGAAAAGCGTGCGCGCGAAAAACGAGTGAGAGGAGTTGGGAACCTGGAGGTCCGAACACAGTCTTCCACCATAAAAGGGCTCTCAACAATTTCCCTCGAAGCTAAAATCAAGGAAGAGCCAAGACTTGGGCTCTAGCAGGAGCGAAACGCCTGGCACAAATTATATCTTACATCTCCTTTTTGTTTTGTATTTTCACAATGTACAGTTTTTATCCTACTATATTTAATGAAATTATCTCACTCTTAAGTGATTCATTCGATTTAGACTTATCTGTGATCTGGCCCATGACTTCGCCTGGTGAATCTATGAGGAAAAAGTATACTTTGACTCCCTCAATTATGATCCAAGTATGATTTATGACCTCCAACCATAAAACCGAGTATATTGACTCATCCAACTATCAAAACCGGTGCAAACTTTATCTCTATGTGGTTTTGGTCTACGTGGCGCCTATGTGGCTTTATTGACCTGGCCTTCATCCCACGTGGCGTTGACGTGGCGCTTATATGGCATTAGAATAAACAATAACAAAAAAATATGTGGGACCCATTTGTCATTCACAAAATATATTGTGGGACCCACAGGACATCCTCCCTTTCCTTGTTCCTCCTTACTCTCTCTTCCCCTTATCTCTTACCCTTCGGTTGTTCGTGGGGAACGGGCGTTGGAGCGGCGACGGGCAGCAGGCGGGCAAGGGCCGGAGCGTCGGCGGCGGAGACGGGCGTGGGGGCGAAGGCAGCGGAGGATCGTCGGTCACAACATCGAGCGACGGAGAAATTGAAGGAGGAAGCATGCAGCCGTCTACTTTGTCGCCACCGCCGCCGCTAGTTGAAGCGTTGCCTCCTCGTCCTCCGCCACCACTCGCACCAACGCCACCCTAAATCCCCCTTTCTTCATCCGCGCCAGCACCACCCCAAATCCCTCTTCTTCTTCTCCTCGTCCGTCTTCCTCTTCATGGACCATAGCATGGCACCGGGGTTAGTGCCAGACCTGAGCTCCCACATGTCGTTGTGTAGCACGAAGCTCCCCATGGCGTTCTTATTGGTGCCCATCGTCGCCTCCCTCACCGTCAGCAACCCCATCGACCTCTGTCCCTTGGTCGCCATCGCCTCACCGACACTCCCCTCGCTCCGCGCCCAACCGTCCCTCTGTTAACGACCAAATTTGGTAAGATATAAATCAGGTTTGGTACTGGAATCAAAGTGGATTTAGCAAAGGATTGCGTTCGAAGAACAGAGTGTGCATCGGCTGCGAAGGCATTGGCTGGAGTCTGCATCGGCTGAGATGGGTCGGACAGGGGACAGCCAATACGGCCGATACAGCCGATGCAGCCGATTCTTTTGAGATGGTTATAAAACTGTTTCTGGAATCGGTCAATGTGCTTCACAAGGATTGCCACGATGGAGATAAGCTCTCAGATAGGCAATTGTATCTTTTATATTTTATGTAATTTCCTTAGAGATATGTTTAGGTAAAAGTCTACCGTAAAGACTTATGTGTATCTTAGAGTTTGTTAGATATAAGAGTTGTGTCCGGCAAGGACCTATCATGTATCTCGGGTATAAATATGACCCGAACCCGTGTGATCTAGAAATAACGGTTCAATAACACTCTCGACGCATCGCCACCCTTTTTCACTTTCGTTTGTTTCGACGAGTTCTTACTTTCGAGTTGAGCTGCATCGATTCCGATCTTCAACTAGAGGTAAACTTGTCATGGCGGTTTACATTCTCGGGATTAGTGCTTCCATCTTTATGATACTCTAATCTTGTTTATTTAATTCATCGAGTTATCATATATGCTTCATAATCTTTGTTGATTGTGTTATTTAACTCACAATCGGCTGGTTTTTACTGCTAGAGAGCAGCCGATAAAGTTAAATCTTGTTATTAATCTAGATTGTATCGCATATCTACCATCTCTTAGAGGTTTTCATCACCTTGCCTAGATCTTGTATTTATTTTTATGCTTAATGCTGCATCGGTTGAGTTCGATCTATTAAGTAATATTTATAACTATAATATCTAGCATGTTTTATGATAACTGAAAGAGATATCGTCGGGGTTTCAGCCGATCTTACCTGATTTAGCTATTTCATATCTTATATGCTTGATTGTTATGCTAAATATACCCTTTATATCAAGATCTTATTGCATTAGAGTATATTAGGCCTTTGCTTAATATGTTCGTCTGTTTTAATATCTTAATATAGAGTGGTATCGGAGTATTAGCCGATACATGCTAGATCTATTTGATCAGCTATGTTATAAACGTTCATATAATCGTCATCTTATTGTATCTTTGGATCTATGTGATTTATACTGTCTCGACATGATGCTCGATCTATCCCAATCACTTAATCAAAATATGCATTGAGAGAAGGATTATATATCGTTAATATCTACAGCCGATCGAGTAGATTTAGTTTTATATTGCTTCATTCTTCATTGCCGATCTATCACCAATAACATCGGCTCAATGATGGACGATATGTCATCGGCTCCTAGCCGATCGGCTATCATTTATGGATTTAATCTCGTTTTTCTTGTCTTTTATTCTTGTTGGTTGCAGGATCAAATCAACTGGCACGCTCACGAACCTAAAAGCAAGATTTTAGACCTGCACAGGAGTTAAGCAGATCTTCCAGGCCAGTGTGTGTTTTTCGCATCAACACCCTCCTTGCTGCTCTGGCCTCGGCGGCTGTCCTTCTCTGTCTCCCTTGGTCTCTGACGCAGCTGCCTTAGCCATAACCATGGTTGTCGACGTTGGGGCTATCATTGTTGCGGGGTGACGCAGCGATAAGGACATACAGAGGGGGGAGAGGAACGAGGAAGATGGGATGGAGAGAGAGAGGAATGACCGGGGATGCAGGGAGGATGACAAGTGGGGTCCACATGTGAGTGGGTCCCCCAATTTGTTTTCTGTGTGAATGACAAATGGACCCCACATTTTTTTTGTTATTTTTTTATTCTAATGCCATGTAAGCGTCACGTCGATGCCACGTATGACGAAGACCAGGTCAACAAAGCCACATAGGCCAAAACCGCTTCCAAAACCACCGAGGGACAAAGTTTGCACCGGTTTTGATAGTTAGAGAAGTCGATATACCCGGTTTCGTGGTTAGAGGTCATGAATCATGCTCAGATCATAATTGAGGGACTCAATGTATACTTTCTCCAATCCGTGAATGAACAAACTGAAGCCTGTATGCTTGGACGGCCCATATGAAGTTGCAGCCCAGAAGTAGAAAGGAAAAAGTATACTTTGACTCCCTCAACTATCGTCCGATTATGATTCATGTCCTCCAACCACAAAACCGGGTATATCAACTCCTCTATCTATCAAAACTGGTGCAAACAATGTCCCTCGGTGGTTTTGGCTGACGTGGCGCCTACATGGCGGTTTTGACCGAGTCTTTGTCCTATGTGATGCTTACGTGGCATTAGAAAAAACAAAAATAAAAAAATATGTGGGACCCCTATGTCATTCACACACACAA